TATACGATAAAAATGTACGTATAGTATTGTTTCATAAATGGATCCCAAAAGTTACCATTCATTATGCTTATCAGGACATAACAGGTAAGTAAGTTTATCAGTTGATCAATAAGTTTCAATCAGAACTTCATACTCAAATAGCATGATACTGATTGCCTCTCTGTGATTAAACCGTTTAATCCTAAGACTTTAATTTTCTCTCTCTGAGATGAATTGTAAATTTATTTCAAACTTATCCTACAGCCTTTTTTTTCAATTTAAGTTATAGACTTCTGTACTATAGAGCAGAACACAGGCTCTCTAAAAGAGTGATCATACTCTTTGATGAAATTCAAAACACAATTTTTGGTTTATCGTTCATCGGTTACTTTAATAAACGGTTGCTAATCGTAAGAATCAAAATTAGTTATGTTTATGAGAATATTGAATTCAGTTCGGTTACATCATAATTGTATTTTAAACGGTAATGTCTCTGGTTTATATATTTACATTATAATCTGTTACTATTCTTTATTTGATTTTCCAGTAATGATTTGTTTCGTTTATTGCCTGATAAGCGGAATACACCCATTAAGACATTGAATAAGAAAGATTAGTTCATCGAAGAGTTCTCTTTTCGGCGAATTCATTTTCAAAGCTGTACAAAATGAATTCGCCGAAAAGAGAACTCTTCGCTGAACTAATCTTTTTTATTTATTGCCTGATAATTAATTTGTTTTAGTCCATAGAAAAAAAATGTATAGCTCCAGGACACTTGATAGAGTTAACCTTCGCGTAGATTATGAACATATACTTTTACAAACTGTTTACTATCACCATCCATCTCTGTTTATAATGCTTATGATTTCAGGCAATATTGAAGGAATCCATACAACATGCACATATGCTAATAAGAGACTGATCAATTGCAGTCGTGAACATAAATGAGAAGATTCGAATAATCAATAAAAAATGATTTATACTAATTATGTTAGAATAAAATCCAATCTGTTGACGTCAGAACGTGGAAAATAGGTGGTTTTTGTTAAGATAAATTATCAATTACCGCAATCAATATTGATTCCTACAAAAGTCAATTTATGTTTGTCTTGAACATGTATTTAGCAATGCTTATTGGCAATGTCTACTCTTTCGATGAAGTATACCAATAAACTATTCATCATTTACATCCAGTGATGTAATTCAGTATACAGAAACTCCTAATTACAGCATCTATAACTCCTTGTCATTAGTGAGACAAACATATTCCAAATCATCTTTCTACATGAATTAATTTACTACTAAGTTATCTAGACTTTGGAATAGTTTACCGCGATCTGTCTGTGAGATAAAATCACTCCCATCCTTTGTTCGCTGTATGGATTCTTACTTTTCCTCTGAAAATGCATTAAATATTCTAGCACCTGTAAGAGTATCTTATTCTACAAATAAGGTCATAGGAACTTTAGATGTTTAGTTATTTTTATTATTGAATCCACTTGATAAACCTACCCACCAACTGTTACTTTACATTTAAACTGTCCCTGGAAACTTTAACTAATTTGAATAATGTCTAACATCAATAGTACATCATAAAATAACCTGACATATGTATTATGGTAGACCTGACTAACCTATCATAGTAATTATTACCTATCTTGTTCCATATTCTCTCCATCTATTTTATTTTCTCTAGTTGCAGATGATTATGATCAATTCGTTATGGCACAGGAAGTGATCTTAAATACATCGTTCATACACCAAATGGATGTCAAATCAAAGACAGTTAATGGTTTTCTATGGATACCTTTCGTTGCTGTAATACATGTGAAAAGATACACTACCTAAACAATTTCTGAACTATAAAACTTAAAACAATCTTACATCACATATCTGTTCCCTACACTTAATATAATTATCTATATCAAGCTGTTCATGACTGTAAACTGGCATGAATTCTGTAATTATGATTTTCAGAATAATATTATATTGTATATATATGGGCTGGATAATCCTTCTCTTTGTAAACTGTTGTCAGAAATGCAGTGCCAGCAACATACATATCAAGCATTTTAAAAACAAATTTATAAGAAATTATACACATGGTGTTTTCAGTAAACCAGTCTTTATACATACGGATACCATTGATAAACCATTAAAAACTGAGCTTCATTTCAAAGAAAGTTCAGAAACGAGGTAAGAGCAAAACTTATAGGTGGCTATACAAAATAGATTGAACGTCTGTTATCGTATACATATGTAAGATGACGCGAAGAGTGATTCTGATGAAGTTGATTTATTCTCGGACTTTTTTTTAGAAAAGTGTATAAAACAGAGTATATACATTCTTGGCACAGAAACGATCAAATTTTGATAACCGGAATATGAACACATTGACTACTTGAGACTTAAACTCCTTAGACTATTAAATAAACTTGACAAACTAAAACCAGAGGTATTTGATGGAGTACATCACAAATAACCTTAAACGTCACATCTTTAAATATAACATATAACTTGTTTGCAACACAGAGCATGTTCTCAGGAGACTGGAAGTACATTATTGGAAGTCCTATCCTAAAGATGGTTATGTGTCGTAACACCTTTAAGTTCATTTAGCGTAGTTATCGAGATTTTAGATGAAAACAACATAGTTCTGAAACGAGTCATTCGTTCCCTAGTAAATTAGTACTGACAAAAAAAATCCGGGGTTCTTTGAAAGATCAGAAGAAATCAGTGGGTGTATACTATATTGACTTCATCAGTAAATCTAGCTCTCAGTTAAGTGAAGAGAAGTTGGGATCAGTGGAAATTTAGCTTTTTGGGATGAAGAATTCATACTTCGACGCAAAAATGTGTACATGTTACCTTCAGTCATTTTTTGAGGAAGAGATTTGGTTTCAGCTACTTCTGTTGACCCATTCAGAAGGTGGAATGATCTAAAAGACACTCTATCCAAAACTAAAACATTCAATAAGTATTTTCTTTGTTATATAAAATAAAATTCCATTCAAGATTAGCGATCATTAACGTGGGAATAGGACTGAATATGGTAAACAAAGATCAAGTTTTCATGAAAATGGTTTTCTTTACCAATTTAAATAAAGCCTAAACAACAACTGAGGGTGAATAACGACTTACAAGGTAAATAAAAAAATTTATATCCATTTTTAATTACTGTCAAATTGTTAGTAGTATACTGAACAGTGTCTAAATTTTTAGGGGGGACTGACAATATAGTTAAAAATTGTTACCTGGATTTCATGAATTCGTCCAAGTATTCTCAGACGTTTGAACCTTGCTTAGGCTTATGAAAAAAAATTTTTGTTAATGATTTGTGGTTGTAAATAAGCGATATAGTTTCCTTAATGATAACGTCTGATCTTCCCTAAATTATTCAGGTTTTGGCTGACTGGTAAATAACAAAATCTTTGTAACACCTGCGTCACCAATCAAAATGCTATGTGCTGGTTACTACAGAGCCAATGGTAAATTTCGCGGTGCAAAAGTTATCAGTCTGTATCTCTAGGGAAGTTTAGTTCATTATGTTTTACTTTTCTGTTTCATTTGTTACTTTTGTGAATAAGACTGATGCACATTTTTTCAATGTTTTGGATTGAATATAACTAAGTGAATACGTAGCGAAGAAGATAAAATATTACCACTATGATCAGATTTTGGAATTCTAAGCTAATTAGCTACTCTGAAGGTACCCTTTGTATCCTCAAACTAGACTTTCATTGGAAGTAAATAATTTAAGATATTATTACACCCCAATTTTGTCCAAACTTTAAGGACTGTAGATTTTCAAGAGCATAGAATGAGATTGCAAAATCAAGCTTGAAATCAATCGCTGTACCAGATCTAACACCTTATATTAATTTAATTACTTAAAGGTGCTTTTGGATGCACATGAACCTTTGAAGTTTATCAATTTGATTACTCGATAGCTTAAATAAATTAACCATTAGCCATCTTTTGAATGTTATTTAGAATAATTTTAGTTTAACTACTTACAAGTAGATTCAAGTTTCATTCATAAATATTTTTAATGTTTGTACCTACTTATTATCTTGAGTTTCTAATAATGACACCGATATGAATTGAAGTAAGACTAAAATAAAAACTGAGATTTCATACAGGAATTCGGACTGAATGGGTAACAGGTGAGAACGTTTTTCAGTTTAGCTTTCATAAATCATGTAACAATGAAAAAAATTAAATCAACTTCTGTACTGTACACTGTGTAACATTCACAATGTTGACACATGTATTTTATCCTATAAAGTATATCTTATACTATTACCATCATAAAGTTTTAATTTTGTGTACAGTTTTTGTTAAAGATCAATTTGCATTACGATCTTTCTAGAGTTATCTTGCACAGTTTGACAATAAATCCAAAGTCCCCAAGCCCAGACTGCATCCTTTCTAAATGTATCGGCTTAAACTGAATCCGATCGTTAAAATCAAGAAACTATATAAATGATATATATATTCATTGGTTTATAAGTTGCACACATAGGTAAATTGGTTGCTATGTCACTTAGAACTAGTAAGAATCAAAAGCTTATCTTGTTTAATGTTAAATTTGTTTCAACAAAGAAAGAACAACAAATAAACATTTATTTTGTGGATTATCTCCAATTACTTGCAAACTAATCTGTTTCCATCATATTTAACAAGTGAAACCAACATAACTAACAAATTCAATGTAATTAGTCAGTGAGTTCTATCAAAATTTAATATTCACCGCTCCATTACACATAACGTTTTAGGTGAATACTGTACCTGGTTACAGTCATTTGGATGGAACAGTTGTCCAATGCTTATTAGTTCTCATAATGATGTTGATTTAAGAAAAAAAAACTAATCTTGAACTGTAAATAATCACCTCTAGACAACCATTTCAAAACGAATATCCGGACAATTCTTTATTGTAGCAACTTAGTACAATATAGGATAATCTAATATTGAAATAAATTACAATTACAATTGTATAAATCTCTGTTATCACTTACATTTATAGATCCATTAGAAATATTTGATCCTATACTTTGTTGTGAATGAGAACGTTTTGTTGTATCCAATTGAAAATAATGACTAGCAGGATGATAAGAACCTTTATTTGTTCCATTTCTTATTGTTGTCGATTTGGATAAAATTGTATAACGTCCAGTAGAATTATTTGATTTATTTGTATATCCATTTGTTTGATGAATTCCATTGTAATTAATATGATTTAAATCACGATCATTCATAAAATCATTCACATGATTTGACTTAATCATGTTAGGCATAGTTTGGTAGTAGCTAGGATTAAAAGCACCCAAAAAGAAATAGAGGGAATATCATGAATGATGTATTCTATTTGGATGTAATTATAAATTAATGGTAAATGATCAAAAAAATTATGTTCATTAAACTATACCAGTCAAAATTATGATTCAGTTTTAATTTATATTTATCAAACTATATTCCATTATTAACTCCGCCTGTAGATCTTGTAGAGTTCCCAAGCCCGGGTAAAGGAGGAGGGTTAGGCATGGGGTTAGCGACCCTATCCCGTAGAAAACCAAATCGCTAAAAAAACGCTAACCAGAAAAATAATATATTCCATTATTGAATTAATCTAAATAGGTAAGTAAATTTTCTTTATAAATCCTAAATACCTTAAGTTATGTAGCTTTATTTAGTAATGGGGTAACCAGTGAGTAAGTTAAAATTATATTGAAGTGCTGTGTCCATTCATGAGGTTTTGATTCATTTATAAATTAGTTCACAGAACGGTTAACTATTATAACAACCGGGTCAATTGTGAAGTAGTAACTCACTGATGAAAATAGTGGATGTGTCCTCAATTTCATGGATTATTTGAAGTTACACATTTATGGCGCGGCGTGCCGGCTCAATGGTCTAGTTGGTTAAGCGCCTGGCGTGAGACCGATAGGTCCTGGGTTCGCATCCCGCGGGGCGGGATCGTGGGTGCGCACTGCTGAGGAGTCTCACAGTAGGACTAAACGGGCGTCCAGTGCTTCCAGGTTTCCCATGGTGGTCTAGCTTCAATTGACTCATGATCACAACTGTTGAAATTACTACAATCTCCACAAAATCCCTTCTGATACCATTTACCTTATTAATTTATCCATGTTCATCAGCATAAATCAAAACTTTGAATATTGGTAACTCAAAAACGATGATCCAGAGGAATGGACAATAAATTGTGGATATGAAATGCTAAGGAGTTCCATATTAGGATTAAACGACTGTCTAGTGCTTCCAGATTTTTAATAGTGGTCTAACATCAATTGATTTATAATCTCAATCAAAAACTTAACAATCTCCACAACCCCACACTGATAATAAATAATTGTTTTCTCTTGGCTTAATAAATCTTAGTATTGGGGATTCACATCTATACATTGCGTTTACCCAGGATCTACAAGTTATGCAGTATGAATCCACTGAGAAAGATTTCAACGTCAGTGTTTTAAAGTAACACGAATTCATTATGTAATTTAGTGGTCATCCATTACCACTGACGCTAACTCTATCACGACTTCTGGAATAGTCTTCAAAGAATGATTCACTGATATCCATTTTTAATGAAGTATCATATAGTTCAATACTTGTCATTTGAAATAAACAAACAAATTTGGTGATCGAAACATGAACATCTATGTAGATCATTAAGTATGTCCCTTTTATTTTTCCTCTTAATCCGTCTATTTTATTGGTGAAGAAAAAGCCATAAAAACCTAAATTTTCACTAAAGTAAGATATTGATTTCAATTATCATGTACGATACGTTCAAAATCATACCTTTTCATTAATTCAAAAAAGTGCACTAATGGCAGACAATAATAGGGAAATACCAAATAGTAGAAACAATAATTAAGGATTTTTTGAGTTCAGCCAATAAACTGTTGTCAGGTTTTCCAGTTAAACCCTTGAATTCGAAATGAAAGATCCCATTTTCAGAGTCTCGATATACGTAAAGGTCTACACTAACCTATCTTTATAGCTCATGAGTCCAACAATTTTATGGGAATCATTGATGTTTTCAGGTCTAATATAATAAATACGACTTAAATGTATATACTAGCTCAAGTTAAATAATGTGACAAGTTTAGAGTTTAGAAAGATGAAATAAAAGTAACAAACACAAACCGTTACCCTCTTGGACATTAGAGTATGAAAAAGGAATGATAGGAATCTTTTACTGTTAACGGGGCCTCGATTTGCGGTAGGAGCAGAAAAAATGATCGCAGAGAAACAAAGGAAAATTAAAAGATCAAAAGCCATTGTTCTCACATATGAATCCTGTCAACTTTTGTAATATGATAGTTGACGGAACATTGAAAAAATTCGCTTCCAGGGTGCGAGATCGTCGATCACTGTGTTGAGAAGTCTTATCCTATAATATATATATCATGGGATAGGATGGGATGCTTACTTACTTACTGACGCCTGTTACTCCTCGTGAAGGAACATAGGCCGCTCACCAGCATTCTCCATCAAACCCTGTCCTGGGCAATCCTTCCTAGCTCCGTCCAGTTGTAATTCATCGTTTTCATATCTGCTTTTATTATCCGACGCAATGTGTTCTTTGACCTTCCTCTTTTTCGCTTCCCTTCAGGATTCCAAGTTAGGGCTTGCCTCGTGATGCAGTTTGATGATTTGCGTAATGTATGTCCAATCCATTTCCATCGTCTTCTCCTAATTTCTTCTTCAGCTGGAAGTTGGTTTGTTCTCTCCCACAGAAGGCTATTGCTGATGGTATCCGGTCAATGGATGTTGAGTATCTTGCGTAGACAGCTATTTATAAATACTTGTACTTTCTTGATTGTGGTTGTTGTAGTTCTCCAAGTTTCAACTCCATACAGTAGAACTGCCTTGACGTTCGTATTGAAGATTCTCACTTTGATATTGGTTGAAAGTTGTTTTGAGTTCCATATGTTCTTCAATTGTAAGAATGCGACCCTTGCTTTGCCGATCCTTGCCTTTACGTCTGCATCTGAACCTCCTTGTTCATCGATGATGCTTCCCAGGTATGTGAAGGACTCTACATCTTCCAGAGTTTCCCCATCAAGAGTGATTGGATTGCTGTTTTCCGCTTTGAATTTGGAAAACAGCAATCCAATCACTCTTGATGGCTAGAATTATAATTTATTAAAAAAGAACAGTTTTCACCATTATTTTTACTTAAGTATTAAATTTTACTTCATAAGGTGAATTCATACAAAGCATAACAAATGACGATTACTTAACATTTACATTCATTGTACAATGAATCATAGTTACTATTATACACCTGATTTTGCCTTGACCTTATCATTCCACATATATTAGGTACTGTTCACTGTGTTTAAAAATATCCGGTCAATACGGTTTTATTGCCTGTTTATTTATTTATGAGGTATAAAATGTTTACTTTTGTTTGATGAATCATTACCAACTGTAAACATAGTGGTCATGTAAATGCCAATAGGAGAATAATTTTGACTTGGATAAAAGAAAGTAGAAGCATCATCACTAACAACAGCTTGATGAGTGATTATTTCAAGTAAAAAAGGAAACAACAAAATACCAGTAGAAGAATTATTTTCTGAATATAAAGCTTAGTAGTAGTAGTAGTAGTAGTAGTAGTAGTAGTAGTAGTGGTAGTGGTAGTAATGGTCGGTGTACATCTTCTTATCACTTTATTCAGTGAATAACTTGTCTTATGTGTGAAAATAAAAAATGGATTGAAAAATTCACCCTAGTGCACAACTCAACGGCCACCTTGAGTTTGTAGCTTAGTGGACAACGCGATGGCATTTTAAGCAGTCATTACCAGGTTCGAATCACGTAGTGAACATCAGTTCTGGGATACTAGGATGTTCACCTAATGAATCTGAAATAGGAGAAAGCTCATAACCTAGATTACGTTGTTAGCTGCCATCTCACTCTGTTTATAAAGCTTGGGGCTAGATTAATGTGTAAAGTTGTTTATTTTCAAGGAAAACTCCTTTGGAGCGATGTGTTCAGAGTTGATTAGATGATCCTGTGTTGAACTGGTAACTTTTTAGCAGTCTCCTTTTAAAAGCCGCGCCGGGTAATGTTCTGAGATGCTTTGTGTGGCCAATTTAACCTGCCCCACACGATGCACATTGAGGTGGCCCATAGTGAAATTTTATCGTTAACACATCCATGAATGGTAGGCCGTCTTGAGAAAACAATTCAGAGCTTAGCTGAGTAGAAGGATTTATTCAGGGATTTGGAAATTCGCGTATTCAAGATTTTAGCAGCCATGTTTTTCTTTTGAACTGTTGGTGCCTTTTAAGCATTTTGTCTAGGTGTTAAGTTCCTATCGATGAATCTAAGTGGATAACCCACGCGTCTTATATTCCGTCTATAGACTAACGCCTCTAGGTTTGATAGACGATGCCCTCCAACAGACACACAAACCTTAAGCTGGTGTAAGCTTCACTTCTATTGGTCGGCTGACAAACATATTTTCTTCAACTCCCCAGTCTTGACCCGAAAGTGAAGACTGCAGACAAGCTCCCATTACTACACTGAAACCATTAAGCCCGTCAGCTATTGAGAACATTCATTAGCTTATATACATGACATACTGGACCACATCATACTATAAAATAGAAAATCATACTTCTACAAAAAATAGGCTAAAAAATGTCAGGGAGACCGCAAATTAGCTAAAGAATTACACTTCTGTCAGTATGGGGTTGTGGAGATGGTTTAGTTTTTGATTGAGGTCGTGAATCAATTGATGAAAGACCAATCTTGAAAACCTGGATGGCTGTTTCTTCTCAGTATAGGATTCCTCAGCAGTGAGCATCTACAATCTCTCACACAGGATTTGAACTCAGGACCTTCGTCGGTGTGTATCGCTGAGGAGTCCCGCAACAGGACGAAACGGCTGTCCAGGTTTTCAATGGTGGTCTAACACCAATCGGTTCATGATTCCAATGGAAAAAAACAACTATTTAAAACAAGAATATGACATTTTCCCATTTCCAACCACTGGTATTTCTGCTCGTATATCAGTTAATTGGTTTTTACATTATTTAACCTAAAAATGATTCATATACAAAAACACAATTTATATTGTACTAGCATATCAACATCAGATATAATGTCATTCTTTACTAATTGTTGCTTGTGGCTAACAGATTTGAATAAATTAGAAGAAAAATATATAATTGCTAGGTGTTTTATTCTTCTCCCAGGGATTATCATGTGTAAATATGTTTGCTTTTCTAGAACATTGCACAGATGAATCAAATAACAAACAAACAAACAACTAA